GAGGCAGCATAAATTTGATTTGACAGGACTATTTGGAAAATACTATGGACTTAACTAACAAGTAACGGAAAAAAAAAACATATACTGAGAATCAGAAACTGGCAGTTGAGATTTCTTGGTTACATAATGGGCTTGGCAAATTCAACACTCACAGGACAAGAGAAACGCACGTAACCTACCTAACGAGCTTGTGTAAATGGATGGCAGAGCAGGGATTAGCAGAGATCGCAATAAGATAAAACATACTAAGAACTACAAAGAACAAGAAGTCATAGAGAGCCATCGTCGCCCATGTCCTGAAGGGACACGGCACATTAAAGAAGAAGAAGAAGAAGAAGAATGATGATGATGAGGAGGAGGAAGCTAGGTACCAGATGAAATAACGCTAAATATTAAATTCAAAGAACAGACAAAAGCATCGTAGATATTTGCGGCGAGGAATTTATATACAAAGAAAGATTTTATCAGTTTAAACGTAATTTTTTGTGGATACTCATTTGAGTAGACGCCCCGAGGTTATTAAACGGTGTATTTTATTATTTTTGCCACTGGCCTGTATTTTCGACAAATCTTATTAAAGAAAAATATGCTCCCTCTGGCAGGATTCGAACCTGCGTCCCCCGTTGTTAGATCCGACGTGCTGATCCCGACTCACTACGAAGGGCATTTGACAATCAGGCAAGGCGGAAGAAGGCCTTAAAACGAAATTCTTCTCGTTATACAGGGTGGTCCGAAAGTCTTGTTACCACCTACCGAAAAGTAATGAGAAAGATAGAACAAGTAATACATGTACTGGATTCAGTTTATTCACTTTCATTGCCGCTGTCACACATCGAGAAGGTCTGTATGAGCACCCATCATCTCCGTTTAGGTGCTCGTGTCAGCCATCTAAAATAGAAAATTATATTATATGGGGGGGGGGGAGGTTTGACAAGATTTTCGGACCGCCCTGTAGATTCCAGAAATTTCATATCTGCTCAGATTCCTATCCAAACGCAAACAAAGCAATCTCTAAAGAAGTAATAGATTTTTAAAAATGTATTAATACGCCAGATTTTATGACTTTAAACGTTATTTTTAGTGGATAATCATATTTGAGTAAACGCCCCGCTTAATTTTTAAACGGTATATTTATTCATTTATATTTACCGGCATGAATATTCGAGAAATCTTATTAAAGAAAAATATTCACCCGCTGGCTTGATTCAGACCTGTGTTAATAAAACGTCGAAACAAGTGAAGAAGTTGTTTATTTTTTAAAGATCTTTTGACAAAAAAAAAAAAAAGACGTTGCCTATCTTTTGTGAGTAAACGAAATTTCTTCCCAAATCTAAGATATTTCGCCTGAAGGGAAATTCCTGTTTGCTTGTGCCTCTTCTTCACTAATTCCAGCCACCCCTTTATCGACTCTTGCTGCCAAACATCTTTTTGGTGGACTCTACGCTTGTATACTCGGTCAGTATGGACCAGACAAACTTGGGTCATTCTGGGTGCCTTCCATCCGCATCCTATTTTTTGACTCGAGTGTCCAAGTGCAGTTTAACAGTTCTCGTCTGGTCAACGGTTCTAGCATAATATTGAATCATTCCTAGAAGCATTAATCGAAACAAAAGCGGAATTGTTATTTAGCTTTAATGGCACAATTGAAAGGTAGCGAGCGCAAAGAAAAATAATATGATGTCTAAACAATGATACAATAGTTGTATATGAAAGATCTGGTCAAAAAAGCTAGAAATATTTGCATTACCCTAATATATGGTAGACGGTGTCAGAAAACCAGAAAAATAATCTGATGTCTGAATATTGCTACAATAGTTGTATATGAAAGATCTGGTCAAAAAAGCTAGAAGTATTTGCATTAGCCTAATATATGGTAGACGGTGTCAGAAAACCAGAAAAAAACAATTTGATGACGGAATAATGGCGATATGAATTGAATTGATCGTTTAACTTACCAGAATTTAAATCGAGGAGGTTTGTGTCTACATTCAGGATATCCTTCAATGTTTTAACATTAATGAAATTTCGCGGAAAAAAACAAAAACAAAAACAAAAAAAAAACACTACTGGAAGGATTTGTACGGGAATGTCCGTTATTAATTACTGTGACTTGTGTAAAATACTGTTGTATATCGCTAGAGTGTAGTAAGAAACAGGAAAATTTCGTTAGAAAAGTATCAGTCAGTTATGTGCCATGCGTAATACACACATGCCACATAACTGATACACTCTTAGGCGATCATGTATTTTTCGATACATGACTGACGAGGTAGATTTTTTTCCCCACAGTAGGTTACCATTTCATTCTGCGGTAGACCAGTCGCCATCCAAGGCTATAGAACCCGGTCTGTTCTGCTATTTAACCCTAGCTGGGGGAGAAGAAGAAGATTCATGCCTTTCTCAAGGGTATTAGCTAGCACGTAAATGAATGTAATGGATTCGACTGGAATTTGAACTCAACTCTCCGAATCCTCAATCTGAGCCGCTATCCATTACTCCACTGTGAAAAGTTTACTGAACTGTTATGCAATATAATTTCCTCTTATTGTCTAAGCTCGCTGTCTCACACGTTTTCTACTACGTCAAGTATCGTGATAAGCCACTGACGTGACATTTTATCAAAATATCCGACGATAGGAGAGATTTCAGTGAGAAATGTATTCATGCCTTTCGAAGAGACGTCACAGTGCTAAGCGGATGCAAATAGCTTCCGTTGCAATTTGAACTCGTCTTCAGCGATTTTGTTTTCCAACAAGAGTTATGTCATCTTCATGGTGAAAAAAATGAGCGACAATGATTTTTTTAATCGCTGAAAATCGGTTTTCCGACATTAATTAATTTTTTCGTAAATCTCGCGTTGGGCGTGCATTCTAGGCCTGGATAAATGAACTAGCTACTGAAACTCTTCAGATGGATTGTGCGCGTATAAACTTAAGTAAACAAACTTATATTACCTTCGTTTTATTTTATGTACCTGTTGAGTTCTAGGCTCATAGCATATCTGCGCCGTAAAACGGCATTGTCAGAAAAAAAACAAAAAAAATACAAGAGGGGAGAAATTTATTTATTGGTTGCTTTTTTACGGCTTAGCAACCTTTTGGTGATTATTTCAAACTAGAAAATGTTTTGGCATTTTAAGATTCATTTAGAGACAATAATGATTTACTGATACTTGTCTTACTCTTTAACCCATATCTGGGGAAGAACAGGTGTATTCATACCTTTTCCCACGGTTATTTGGGCTTAAGTGAATATAACGTACTCGACTGTAATTGTAACTTGGTTCTTCGATTTTCATTTCCGAGCCGTTATCCATTATATCAGAAACACATCCAACGCCTGGTATTCCTAAGCTGCCTTTGGGCCAGGATAAAAGTGTAGTATCTGTCCTCAGGCGGATAAACTACATTTCATCTCTATGTTGTGTCCTTGTCTTTGGATAGCGAGCAAATCAACTGTCTCTGTTTGCGAACAGTGCGCAACTGGTCCTGGGAAACAGTTGCTCGCGGAAGTACCTCCTCATTGCACTAAAGGGAGAGGATCGGTAGTCATACCGATGCCAGTGCCGCTGACCATTGCGGGGGCTGGGCTATTTTGGGATCTAGCCCGGGTGCACACACTCGGGATCCCCACATTAGACTCACGTTGTGTCATATCTTGACAGCTTGGGGCGACACGAACAATCCACCTATGTACCTACCAGGCTCGACGTTGTTTAACTTCGATGATATGGCCAGAAGCCGAGAGATGGACAAAAGTAAGAGAGAATTAGAGAGAGATAAGTGTGTTGAAAAAGAGAGTAAGGAGAAAAAGAGAGAGTTAGGATAGGAGGTATATAAGAAAAGAGAAAATATAGATAGATATCATGTAAAAGTGGGGGTACGGTAGAAGATAGAGATAGAAATAAAAGTGAGAGTAAAAAAGAGAGACAAAGAGGAGAGACGAAATGCTGTGAGGTTCATAGAGAATAAGAATAGCAAGAAGAAAAAAAGGGTGGGTTTGAAAAAAAAAACTGTTTTTGTGTTGATGTAGCAAGGTCGATTAGATATAGTGTCTCTGATTCGCTTGAGACAGGGTCGGTGGGAGAAGAAAAGAAGGTAGAAAGGTCGAGTAATGCAAGTGGTCAGAAAGGTTATCATCGCCTTCAGTTCAATAGAAATGACAGATCAGAGAGGCGGAGTTAAGTAGAAAGAATGAAATAGAAAGAGGGGGGGAGGAGAAATATTTTGAGGGACTGGAAACTGAATTTTCTTCTGGCAAATCATCGGGAAAGATGTAGGTAGATGTCATTGAAGGAATGTAAAAGAAAAAGCGGAACATGAGAGATGAATTCAAGAATGAAAACGACTTCGGATAGGAAAGATAGAAAATGAAGGAGTTTGAAAGAGAAAAGAGGTGTGAGAGAGAGAATGAGAATGAGAGAGAAAAAGCTGGCAGGATAAAAAGAAAGAAAGAAATAAAGAAATAGAGAGAGAGAGGGGGAGTGAGAGAGGAGAGGAGAGAGAGAAAGAAAGAGAGGGAAAGAAAATAAAAAAGAAATGAGATTGAAAACTTAAAAAAGAGAGCGATAGTTTGAAAGAATTATAAAGAAAAGAAAAGGGGAGGGAGAAGAAAAGCGATTGAAGAAAAGAGAGAGAAAGAAAGAGAGAGTACACATGAGAAGATAAAAAAAATAAGCTTATATCTGAGTTTTGTGGATGAGAGAGAGAGGGTGTGAAAGAGTGAGAGAGAGTGAGAGAGAGATAAAGTGGGCAAAGAGAATAACCTTAGAAAATAGAGAGAGAGAGAGAAGAAGAAGAAGAAGAAGAAGAAGAGAGAACGAAAGTAGAAGAGAAACAGAGAGAATGGTTGAATCAAAGATATGCAAGAGAAAAATTATAAGAATATTCGTAGAAGACAGATTATTTATATAAGACGAGGAGAGACTGGGAGAGCAAAGAGAGAGAAAGCGGAAAAAGTGGAATAGTGAGAGAGCAAATCAAAGATATGCAAGAGAGGGGTCAAATAGGATAGACTTGGAAAATAGAATTTTGTCGTAAGAATGACAGAGAGAGAGAGAGAGAGAGAGAGGGAGGGAGGGGGAAATTAAGGAAATAAGAGAAAGAGAGCAAAGAGAATGCATAAAACCCTATCTGAGTTTTGTGGATGAGAGAGAGAGAGAGAGAGAGAGAGAGAGAGAGAGAGAGAGAGAGAGAGAGAGAAAGAGGATCAGAGAGGAAAGGAGGAACAAAGAGGCTATCCTATGAATGATAGTGAGAAGGAGAGAGAAAATTGGAAGAGAAAGAGAGTGGGAGTGAGAGAACAAATTATTAAAGAAATGCGAGAATGAGAGAGAGAGAGAAAGAGAGAAAGGGTAAAGAGGATGGATAAAACGCTATCGTTTGGGTTTTCTTTACAAGAATGATAGAAGTATTGAGACATAGAGAGTGGATGGGAAAGAGGAAGAAGAAGAAAGAAAGTGGACGAAAAAGAGAGAAAGTGAAAGAGAGAATCAAAGAGAGGAAAGGGAAACCAAAGAGGACGGCCTTAGAAGATCGTTTTATCGTAAGTATGATAGTAAGAAGGAGAGAGAGAAATTGTAAGAGAGTGAGTGTGAGAGTGAGAGAGCAAATTAACGAAATGCGAGAGAGAGGGCAAAGGGGATGGACAAAATCCTATCTGAGTTTTGTGGAAGGCAGAGAGAGAGAGAGAGAGAGAGAGAGAGAGAGAGAGAGAGAGAGAGAGAGAAAAGAGAGAGAGAGAGAGGGGGCAAAGAGGATGTCATTAAAAGATAAAGTTTCGTTTTAAGCTGTAGTACTAGAAATTTCGCAGGGGAAAGACAGTCTTAGAAATGGAAAAAAGGCAGGAAATAAACCAATGAATGGAAGAAAGAAACACAGAAAAGTGGGGAGCAAGAATTATATCAGACTTGGAACGGAGTGAAAAGAAAAGTAAACAATAACGCTAAAAATGTTGACCAAAAGCAAATTAGTAATGAAAGAAAAGAAACCAAACTTATAGAAAGTCAAACTCTCGTCGCTGAAACACTTGACCTTTTACCAGTGATACCGGGGTTTGGTGTACAGGTTTAGATAAAAACCAAAATTTTATATGTTGATATTATAAGCAAGTAGGTGAGTGGGTGATGGTGTCCTACCAACATGGCGCAAGACAATCTTCATAGCCACCATTTGTTCTCTTTTCGTAGTTTTGTTAGTATTGAGAAAGAAAGAAAAAAAAAAGAAAAAATACGATTAGAACAAAAACAATGATCGATAAGTATCTATGAATTTGGTGGGAATGCGAAGGATAAACAAAGAAAGAAAAACACAGAGAGAGAGAGAGAGAGAGAGAGAGAGAGAAGGGGGAAGGAGAGAGATACTACAGAAAAGAGTGAATAGAAATTAAAATTAGACATTAAAGATAAAAGGAATATTATTCAGAATATTGGTCTTTCTCTCTCTACTTGTGTTCTTCCCGAAATAGGGCTTTCCCTTTAAATATCAATATGCAATATTGTTTATTCCTTTGGGTGATCTCTAGACATCGCTTATTAAACTATTGTTATTTCATTTTGACCAAAAATGTGTTTTTGTTGTATGAAAATATATTTCATCGCGCAAAATAAACTTAATATTTATACTAACAATACATTTTTTTATTTTCATTTAATATTTAATGTTAAATTTAATATGAATTTAATACCTTAATTTTATTTAATATTTTAATAATATTGCAAGAATAAAAATCTGAGTAAAGAAAAAAAATTAGAAAAACGGTTCATTATTTCGTTTTTCTTCTAACTTTCTCTTTCATTTTTCTTCTTTCTTTTCATAGAATCCCATAATGTCTATGACATACTGATAACGGAAAAATACTATTTTTATTTGGAGGTGGTTACAGGGCGTTACGTACATAGACCATAATAGAATCATTATAGGGAGAAAGAACACAGTAAGAAAGTCATGGAACATGAGGTTTGGTGTGAGGTACCACTCGACAGATGGCAAATACGACATCGCCTCTTCATACCTTTGGTCGTCCAGTTGCCAGTAGCAACCGAGACAGTTTCAATTCTGCACGTGTCACTGGCTCGATGAAAGGTTTCTTTTAGACTGAGAAGTGGCAGTTACCAGCATTACACGCTGTTATAAATACGTGAACGTGCTCTGTAAAAGGGGACTTTATTCCCTCAGGAATATGAAGCTTCGATCTTTGGATTAAGTTTCTATTGTAACTAGACTTTAGTTGAAGAAATATTGACGTCCTCTGTTGTTGCTTTCAATCAAGAACGTATTTTACAATTTGAGAGGGTGCTGAAAATTTCGATATTCGAACAAGACGTCATGTAAAAATCTAGTGTTTGGTTATATATTGGGATGTGGGTTAAGTGTAAAATGTTTTAATATTATACAGTTTCAGAAACGTCTCTTTCCCTCTCTGTCTCTCTATGGTGGACTCTCTCGTTGTATTCGACAAGGGTAAAGCATCTCTGTTCCTAGGAACCAACAGCTAGACACCAGCACAAGTGATTTGATTATAGTGGTGAAGGCTTTGTGCAGAAGCAACCACACTTTTGAAGTGCCCAATACAGAGATCTGGTGCATTCCGCAGGTTTTGAATTCAGAGTTGTCCTTCTCCTAGACCAGTTACCGTTCAGTCTGTCCCTACTATTTACCCATATATCGTCAGGGTGTCGCTATATATATATATATATATATATATATATATATATATATATATATATATATATATAACGTCATGGTGGCCTGACGATTGCGTCTAGCATGAAATAGCCTGTCGCCTCTGTGTTGACTTCAAAGTTCACTTTTATATTTATACACGCTCTATCTCTGATATTAAGCACTTAATCGCATAAATATAGCACACCCCTTAAGAGTATATTTCTTCATATATATATATATATATATATATATATATATATATATATATATATGTATGTATCGTTTCACGCCAAGCAAAGCGGGAATGCTACTTATACGCAGTGGGTTACAGAAAGGTGAGAGAAAAAAACTGGCTGTAGGGGCGACTGTGGAAAGGATAAAAGCTGAATGGGGTTCAAGAAGATGGCGAAGAATCGGAAATTGAGTTACACAGGAGGGAAGTGCGTGAAAAGAAACTATTGGAGTAGAAGCGGCGGTTGCATTTATCTATTTCAGCAGTAAAAAGGTGGCACCGAGATGCCAATCTAGGTCCCACGCTTAAACTCACGTAGTTCGGGCAGTAGGAAAAAAAGCTTGTCAGTGCAGTAGCCATGAAAATATGTGTAGAAAAGACAGAGGCAAACCATGTCACGGCGGAGAAGAAATGGCTGAAGTAGAGATTGGTAGATCTGAAAACGTGCAAGATGGACTCTAATCAGAAAAATCTGCTGGCATGACACAGCGAATCAACTGTCCTTGCAGTAGATGCAACTATTGATTCGATGTAGTTGTTCCACTTCAAGTCATTTGAAAACGTGAGGCGCAGCGTGTTCTTCTCTGTGAGTCTAACATCAGTCATGCTGATGTCGGGCAGGGAAATTTCTCTATGATGGTTAAATGAGAGCAGTTTTAAGGGCATTAATATTTATGAACCATTTCCTGTCCCGGTTAACCACAGATTGGAGGAACCTTTCATGAGTAACGGCCAGGTTAACTTTGTCAGCTTTGACGGATTTGCTATTGAGACAGGAGTAGTGTCATCAGCATAAATGCCTAATTGGGAACTCATGACCACAGGAAGCTCATTGAAGATCAGAAATAACGTAGGACCCTGGATAGAGCCTGTGGGGGACACCCACGTTCGTTTGAAAGGGCCAGGAAGCGACACGATTTAATTGAAACGAGTAGATTAATTTAAACAATCGTTCAGTAATACTGTAATCCTTGAGCTTACGTAAACGATCAGCGTGTCTGTTATGGTGAAACACACCTATTCTATAGTTAATAGACTCTCCCAACAAATATAAGTAGGAGTAGTAAGAGAAACGAGGGTCAGTCGATGTCGGACGAGAGTTAGTCGAATACGAAAGTAGTCAGCGACCACAACAAGATTACTCTGCGTAATACCTATTATATCAAGTTCCTAACGTTTTGTACGTCGAACTATTTAGGACCGATTTAGTACAAATACAAGCCTCCACTGCGAAATAACTCCACAACAGTGTCAACCCCTGTCAAAGGCCTTCGATATATCTAGAGCCACAGCTTGAGCTTCGCTGTTATTATTAAGAGCTCCATGTACATTTTCAGTGATGCCCGTTAGCACATCCGCGGTAGACCTGACAAAACATAAGCCATATTGTTTGTCAAAAAGTAGTTCGTGAGAGGTAAGATGCTTAACCAATTCAGCATTGAATAAAGCCTTGAATACTTTGCCGAAAACGGTAGGAGACTAAGAGGGTGATAGTTATAGGGTTCAGACGGTTCTTAAAAACAGGAAAAACAAACGAGGACTTCCAATAAGGTGGAAAGCAGGAGGCAGCGAGGTAATAGTTGTAGAGTTTGGAGAGAATTGGAGCCAGCTCGTGAGCACATTTCTTTAGGATGACGACTGGGACCCGTCGCCCCCGCTTGCATTATGGGAGTCTAATTTAGAATTGATATCTGAGACAAGTGACAGGGTTATGCGCATATCACATAGTAGCGCCTCAGTTCTAGGGTGGAAATCAGGTGTGGGTACTCCAAAAAAAGTCGAGCGTTGAGTCGGAAGAGAATTTCCTAGCAAAGCATTCAACCTTATCTGTTGTAGATGTCAAGACTTCGAATTGATTAAGTAAGGAAAGGATCAAGGTTTTGCTCAGCACATTCTTGCAGAGCCGTCAATAATTTTTAAAGCTTAACTTGTGAGATGATATACGTTGGTTCATTTTATCAGTAAACAGTAACTTGGCTTCTTTGAGGACACGCTTGCACTCGTTACGAGCAGAGACAAATAGACGTTTGTTGCAATCAGACGTGTCGCTCTGGTACAGTCGGAACAAGTGATTCCTCCGGGCGAGAACCAAGGAGATGAACGCAATTTAACTTGCTTGATATTCCCTTGCTGGGATGAAAGCATCGATGCCGGCTTCAGAAGCGCATTTTTTATCAGGAAGATTAAAACATTCATTCCAAGGTACGGCACGGAGGAAATCACAGAACAAGTCCCAATCTGCTCGTTGATAAGAGAAGGATATTCTGTTGGTAGGATGTTCTTGGCTGGTGGAGGGAGTGTAAAGAGGTTATTTACCGACACAAACTCATTATCAGAGTTGCCAAGAGGGCAGAGCTGCGTAGTACGACAAGTGTCAGGGATAGAGGTAAAACAGAGATAAAGAAGAGAAGCATGTCCAAAAGGGTTACTGGGGAAATGCGTGGGGAAGTTAAACACTTGCAAGATAGATTGAGTGATTGAGAAGTTAAGGGTTTGGATGACAGCGAGCTCAGTGACAGAGGGTATGGTGGGTATTAAAGTCACTGTTCACAAATATATTTGCAAACAGGTGTAGGGAGATGGCCTTGTCTATATTATCAGAAATACTATCGAGCACGCAGCAGATTTTAGTGGAAGTGGGCGGTAAAGAAAGACGAGATAGCTGACTGAGTTAAGTAGAGAGAGACGGAGACACATGTAAGAATGATCTGAAGATTCAAGAGAGACTTCTATAACCAGCGGAAGATTTTCGTGGACATGAATTCCCAGGGCATGCATGGTGTGTACGTTTCTTTGGGAGAGTAGTATTTCTTTTAGGAATGGTGAGATAAAATCCAAATTAAAATTAACGCCCAGGCTTTTTTAAAC